CTGTCATTTCATTTGTGCATGGAAACATGAAAATCCATATTTTTTGTTGTGTGTTAATTCTCAGAATTGAATTAACTACGACAAATAAAAACTTACCTACGTTTTAATGAACATCGATGAAGCAGTAATCGATAATGTTTTAGGAAGAATTAACTTTCTAGTTAATCGGTAGATAAATCTGTATTATTCATAAGGCACCTACAAAACAAAAAAAGCATGTCACTCATTAATGAGTTAACATCAAAGCCATCATAAGAATACTCTAAACAATCAATTTTCTAATAAATTCGTAATAAGTCTAGTTTAAGTAGCAGCTGAAATGTATCCTAGAAACATTTATTTTATCTGCTGTCTATACTATGTCACAAAAACTATGATGTAACAACTCTGGTCATGACTATTATTGCTTATAAATGGCGTTTAGAGCATATACGGAGATCCAGTCTATGTGCATCATATACTCTATATTGACACAAAGCAGATTAACAATCTCAAGAACTTTAGGAATAAAATCAATAATGGATTACATAAAAGCATCACTTTACTATTGCCTTAATCCTTCGTAATGTTTAATTGATGATAATTAACACAGAGCATTGAGTTAATGATGTTCAGTTTTCATTTAACGCCAGTTATTGTATATATTTTACAGTTATACACACAATATAGTATATAGTTGTTTTTCAGGTCGATCAATTGTTTGGCATTCATTATTAGGCATACAACTATCAAGTATGGTATATTAGATGCACATGTTTCAGATTCTATAAAATCGATCGTTAATCAACATACATTTATATTTGTGTTATTCAATCGATTTATGTGATATTTTGATTGTATTGGTTATTTAAAAATAAATGAAAATGTGGTAACATTTTCTAAGAAACATTTTTTTTTGTAAATTAGCTCTTGAGGTGTTCCGCCTTAAGTAAACTTTCAATTCTAAAATTCTGAATACAATGTTTAAATTAACGTTAGAAACAAAGTATAAATAGAGGATATGAACACTGTCAATTTGGATTTTGAAATGTGAACGAGAAAAGTTTTGATAATATCAAAATAAAACACAACTAAATGTTGATTTTTATTTAACTGAAAATTGATACATATAACGACAGTATACTTATTATAACGTTCACCACATTTGCGTATATATTATTTAAGACTGACAGACTTAAACTCTTTACTTTCACCTCTTTATGGGAAATCTTCTGAATATATGTTGATCTTCATACTGACTTAGTTTCCTTTAAAACTTCCTGTCTTCTCACACATTGTAGCAATTAGACTAAAGTTGAAAAACACATTTTATGGTTTCAGCTGGACTAGATATTGTTGGATTTTGGGTTCTGTAATCTAATAACTTAATTAATATTTCATGAAATCTGACGTCTTATTAATAGGCTTTCGTTACTATAGGTGTTAACAGCTGATAATATATGTTGGAATGACACAAGCAATCCAAATCTTTAATCGAGGTAACCTTACAGTTAATCTATAAAGTTCCATATCACTAATATTTTTCGCAATAATTTTAATTAGTTTTTGTTTGGAAGTGTTTGCTTTATAATGCTTAACCGTTGGTCGTCAATTTTGCTACTTACTTAGCTTTTATTAGGCTGAATTACTTTTAAACAACCCACTATATTTGAGTTTCTATCACCATGAGATATCATGCGTTCTATTATGAGCCATAACTCAGTAGGCTGTTGTTGGAAAATTGTAAACTAAAACGAAAAATTTAGTCGTTCAATGTCCATCGACTTATAAAGATTCTGCAACTAGTTTCAACTCACATGGCAAAGTACTTGACTTTTGTTCATTAGGTAACGCAAATTTCTCCTTGTGATATATGGAAAAGAAGTTGAATAGATTTGTATGAATTTCGGGCGATAAAATTTTAATGTTCAATCAACAGAACACTACTAATTCTCATTTATTTATTCGTCTCAGTTTTGTTTGTTGATTAGATTTATTGCTTTCGTCAGGTACGAACGAAGATTCACAGTTTACAACTGTATTAAATGACTCTATCTTTCTATACTGTTCCAATCTAATACCTGTGGAGAAAACTCTTTATTAGTATTCATACTAAGAATAAGTATTGAATCAAAGATTGGTTTACATTAAAACGTCAAGTTTTAAAGTTTTCGAGTTCAAACGTTTCACTATTGTTAAGCTGCAGAAATGCATTATTTATTGTAGATCTAGCTAGTGATTATTTCTTAGAATTAATTAAAAGTTATCCGTTGTACTAGTGATGTGAACATACCTAAATCACTGTATTCAGAAGACCGAAATACATTACAATAAGACTTCCCTAAATTCTTGTCCTGCGTCTTCATTTGTATGTTGTTTCATTTTGAGCTTCTCAGAGTCGAGGCTGACTGGAAACAGGTAACTATCAACTTAGAAAATTAACACTGAAACTGGTATCAAATCATTTAACTATCTACCAGCCTATCGAATTATAAAGGCTTTAATTTGTTCAGTTTTTCACTGTACAAAAATGTGGAATTCAAACAAGTATTCATAACTTATCACGGTTGTAAACAACTATCAGTGATTTCCAAAGTAGAGTTTCAGTGATACGTTAATCACAGTTGAGCACACTTAATCTACTAACGAATGACCTAAGAATTGATTTCTCAACACTAAGCAAAGACTATTTGGAAACATAAAGCAGCTTTAACAAGTAACTCACATATAATGGTTGTGTAGGTATCAATGCCAAGGTTGGACCTTATATTTTCAAATAAATTGAGCATTTTGTAGAAAGTTAATGATGATAACTATATTCTTATGATATCCCAAGAATATATTTATTATTATTAACTCACACACTTTTTAATTAGTAAATAATAATGGTTAGGATAATAACGTTCATGATAGAAATTTAATAGTTTTATCCCATATTTAAGACAAAGCTATCTGAACTAGTTCAATACTTCCTACCATTTTTATACACATTTGATCAATATCACGTCATGTCACTATCGAAATTCTCAATAAAAAACAAAATATTTTCTTTCAACATAATGTAACGAAGTAATAAAGCGTTTCATTAACAGTAATGAATTTCGAAAATTATGTTTTACTTACTCATCCTTAACATTGTCCACTTGGAATAAATACTCTCTTGATCTATTTTCAGTCTTCAATCATTTGTCCTATTACGTAAATCGTTTTTCACTTTGCCTTTCTATTTCTGTCTTATTTTCTATTCAAATTATTTTTAACTCTAATAAACAATCGAAAAAAATTCAGTTGCAAGCATTCTATGCAAATAAACAGAACATTTTACAAGAACAGTTAACTGAACAAAAGTTTGGCACTCGCTTGACTTGCTTCAATCTGGACAATAGATTAGTATCGCCAGTCTCCAAGCTCGATATCAAGTCCATGAACAAAGTCTTTATAGATTAATCCTATCTAAATCACCATAGGAAATCTAGAAGCATTGGACATCTTACTCCTCTTGGTATCTGTCTTTAACTTGGACACTATTCACAACCATTCTATACTAATAACACCTATTACTAACTAGTGACTAAAATCGGATAGAAATGACTAGAATTCTCCAAAGATGCCATGGCCAGCGTAGTTCAGCCATGTCAAAAGTGAGACAATTTTTAAATATTTATATAGCTAAAGTCATTCTTTGATACAGTTTCAACAGGCCTCTTACACAAATACGTGTTTCGTTACCACGTTATATTATTTCATAAATTAGAAAGAGACTATTTTCTAATACTGAGTGAAAAAAATTTTTTTGTAGATTTAAATTGAAGACTTCAAGTGATATAAACTTTAAAAGTTAAGTTCAAGAGTTTTAGCTTAATGGGTTATGTCAGTTTTAAATAATCAGATATGAGTCTAGTTGCTCGCACCATTTAATTTTCACACAATCATGAATTCATTATATGGTTATGATCTAATATGCATGAAACGTATCTGGGTTCAGCTTTAATTATATTTTCAGCATGTTCGGGTATTGTAATATTGAACCCCAGAGATATTTGTCATCTTTTAAGTCCGTTGACAATAAGCTATGTAGAACTAATCATTTAAATGATTTCAAGATGTGACGTTAATTAATCGTTTATCATTTCAATTATGAAAGTTTCTAATGCACGGAGTATTAGTATGGTTGCGACATTTTGTATGAAATTCTAACCAAACTGGAATATTTCTAAATTCATTTTCGACTTTTTGTGGTTTCTGTGAATATATTTAAGCATTTCAGTCAATCAGGAATATCTGAAGAAAAAACCTTGTTTACGTTGTTTACTCGATGAAACAGTAATCCTATCCTCAATAGATATTGGTTTTTCAAGTTTTTCCCAGAATCTAGTGTTAAATAAATCACAATCTTGTGATTTTATAAGTGATTATTTGAATTCCAAAGTCAGCAATACGAACTGAACTATATGATAACTTAAAAAGTTAGCAAGTCGTTTTTGACCATTGAATTTACCAGTCTATAGAGACTTTTTATCACTTGGTAAAATTGGCCTTGCTAGATGATAAATTACAAAGTAGGTGTTCTGTAGTATTCACACTAATTTCGAAGAAGTCGCCATAAAATTCTACTGAAATTACAGTCTGACTAGACTGATTTAAGTAGTATATTTAAATTACCAATCAATACTGTTAGCAAATGAAAACAATACTTTTATAAAACTAACAGATTGTGTATTGAATCGAATTGAGTTGGGTGCTATCAGCAAAGTGTTTTTGTGATTTTTATGCTAATTCAGTCTATTCACACTTTCAGTTTATCAATCTTTTATGTGTTATGGCTAAGTTACATTTTCCATATTGTTTTATATAAGCATATAATGATTTCAAAGTTGAACTGTGAACACTAAGTTGTTGGTTCTGAAATTTGTTCACAGTAAACTTTTAAAAAAGCATAACACAGAGGTATTCTCGTCAGAAGATTTTTTTAGAACACCTTATTTTCAATTCTGTCTTTTCTATTACTTTTCTACTTACAGATCGCACCAAACATTCCTGTCATGGTTCCTGTCCTGTGGTAAATGGACGAGGCTATTGCTGGGGTCCAAAGCCTGAGATGTGTCAAAAAAGTAAGCATACCAGTTCATCCCTACAGTTTCAGAAATAAATATCAGTTATTTGTTTTACAATAAACTTAAACAATGTAATTCATTCACAATTCATTTTGAGTCACATATTCTGCTGAATGACACCCAGCATATACGTTTACTTAAAGTGAACCTTAATTTTGGTATAAGTGGTATTTGTCTCTCATGATTCTTCGTGTTCTTGCAAACCGTACTGGGGTATCACCAGCAAACTTAAAATAATCAGATTCCACTTGACTGAATGAACATCGATAACATAAGTGATCACAAAAATTCACCTTTAATAAACTACAGGCAATTTTATGGAATCTGAATGTTCTTCAATTAATTACACGATTTTCACGTGATCACTGTGCTAATTTTTAACAGACACAGTCACAAATCGTATGATTAGGGAAAAACTTAGTGCTTGCTTTCTTTTCTCTCAAAAACATCCTACAAATCACATTGTGTCATTTCTCTTAGTCTAGCTATTTAAAATTTCTACTTTATTTTACATATGAACACCTATTATATGGTCATTTTAAGTAATAAACAATCTAGCAGTTGTTAAAATAACAACTGTTGGCTAGATTTTCACTTTAACATGCTAATAATGAGTGAAGATGTAAGTAAAGTTCAGTCTGACTAATTAAAACAAGAATCTTTTAGAAAACAAATACCATAATTAGATCATTGGCTGAAGATGTAGTAAGAATTCAGGTTTTTAAAGTTGTAAGAAATAGCCAACTTAAGTTTGAGATCAGTTTATTATTCAACAGCACATTACTTTTGATTTCACAGTACTGTAGCCTTTAAATACACATTGGTATGCGTAACCTGAATAAGAAAACTACTTAATAACTCATACTACTGGAGTTTCACATTAAAATTCACTAAAACTAAAATCTGGTAACCTCTTGTTAATCCTACGAATAACAAAACACGGAGTAGAACTCTCTAATCAGTGATCGGGTTACTCCCCATTCCGTCATCAGTATCTTTTGGTACAAACCTCTTTCAGTCACACGTAGATCGTTAGTTATCTGAAATTGAAAAGTAGGAAACTTTATCATTATTTAAAGGTGTGAATGTTCATAAACATAAAAAACCGTTCAAAAAATAGTTCTAACCTTCATACTCAGATTTCGACTTCCACTGACTTGTAACCATGAGTTCAACGACAAACAGGACTATATTCGACTGAAGTTGTGGCACATACCAGAAAACAGACTGATGCACTTATGCCTGTTACTCATCGTACAGGAGCATAGGCCTCCCAACAACATTATCTATCAAACTCTGTCAATACTTCTCAGTTGTTTCCAGGTGCTATTCATTCTTTTGATGTCTGCTTCCTATTCCCGACGCAATCTGTTCTTTGATTTGTCGCCTTTCCTTTATCCTTGAGGATTCCAAGTAACAACTTACCTCGTGATGCAGTTTTATGATATCTGAAATGTGTATCCTATCCATCACCAATGCCTTTTCCTAATTTCCTCTTCAATTGGAAGCTAGTTCGTTCTCTTCCACAATCGGTTGTTGTTGATCATATGCGGCCAGCGGATGTGGAGTATCTTGCATAGACCACAGTTTCTAAAAGATTGCACCTTTTTGATAATGGTTATAGTAGTCTTCCAAGTTTCAGCTTCGTACAATAGAACCGTCTTGTATATATTGCAAATTCCGACTTGTGTGTTGGCTGACAGGTGCTTTGAGTTGCAGATGTTTTTCAGTTGTAAGGGTGGTGTCCTTGCTTGTGCATCTGTATCAGATTCTCTTTGTTTATTAATGATGCTTTCCAAGTACGTAAAAGTGTCCACCTTATCTAGAGCTTCTCCATCAAGTGTGATTGGGTTGATGAACTTTGTGTTGCATTTGAATATTTTGGTTTTTCTTTGGTGAATGTTGAGGCCCACTTCTGCATGTGCTGCTGCTGCACCGGTTGTGTTCACTTTCATTTGTTAGAGTTCAAGGGATACAAGATTTAGGTGATCCATGGAGTCTAAATTGTCTAGTTGTGTACGAGGTTTCCACTGTATCCCATGCTTCTCTTAAGATGCGAAAGGCCTTTATAATCCAGTCGATCACCAAAATTGAAAGGAAGGGCGAGAGTAAGCAACCTTGTCTGACACCGGTCTTCACTTTGAATGCATTTGTTAAATGACCTCCTTGCACGACTACTTTGTATGAATTCCGTATAATGTTAACGAACTTACCAGGCATACCATGATGATGAAGCAGATTTCACAAGGTTCTCCTATCCACACTGTCAACCACTTTTTCATAGTCATGTAATTTGATGTATAGTGACGAGTTCCATTCAATTGGTTATTCAACAATGATCTGTAGTGTCGCGATTTAGTGTGTGGTCGATCGAGTCTTACGAAATCTAGCCTACTGATCTCGAAGCTGAGAGTCTACTCAATCTTTCATCCGATTCGGCAACACTCTGTTGAAAACTTTTCCTTGTATTGACAGTTGTGTGATGCCTTTAAAGTCTTCACATTTGCTCAGATCTCCCTTCTTTGATATCTTGATGGGATATCCTTCTTTCCAGTCTGTCGACACTAGCTCTTCCTCCCTAATATTCCTGAATAGAACATGGAACGTCTTCGCAGTTAGCTCTATATCTAACTTTGGTACATCAGTTGATATCTCATTCGATCATGCTAGTTCTCCGCTCTTGGTCTGTTTAATGGCCATGCTGATTTCCGCGATTGTTGGTGGGGTAAGGGTTATAAGAAAATTTGTATGTGCTGCCTCTTTGTCCGGTGGGTTCAGTGGAATTGGTCTACCCAGGAGCTCTTCAGATTATTTAACCCACCTATTCCACTGTTGTTGAATCGCAATGTCTGGTTTACTTTATTTCTTTTTGACCGGTCGTTCTCACTTACTATATTTCCCTGCTAGCTTTTTCGTTATATCATACAATTGTTTGATAATTTCTTCTCTTGCAGCTTTTTCTGCTGTCACCACCAAGTTTTCCATTTATTTCTGCTTGTTGGCTTTAATGCTGCTCTTCTTTCTTGTTTGTTTCTGTGTATTCGGCCAGTGCTTGAGCTTGCGCTATTCTTGTTCTACTGTTGGTGATTGCTGTAGTCTTTTTTCTTCCTTTCTTGAAGCTTGTCTAGGTTTCCGAAAGAGACTGATCCCTTATTATGATATTTTATGGTGCTCAGAACCTCCTGACATGCTTAAGTTACTTTTTCTTTTGTCCCTTTCCAGTTGTTCTCCGTAGCGCTTTTCTCCTCTTTTAATAAGGCTTGTGAGGCTTGAAACCTCTTGCTGAGAGAGATATTGAATTCATTGAATTTGTCAGTATTTTGAAGGAAGTCTGTATTAAACCTTTGTTATGATATTCCCCCAATCGTACATTGCTTCTTCAGCTTCAGTTTCATCTTGGCAACTACCAGGTTGTGATCTGGAGCTATATCAACTCCTCTCTCTTTTCTCACTTCTACCATGAACTTTATATATATTGTGTTGATGCAAATATGATCCATCTGGTTCTGTGTAGTGTGATCTGGTGAGACCCATGTAGCTTTATTTATGAGCTGTGATGAATGTGGTGCCGTATATAAACATTTTGTTGAATGCACATAAATTTACCAATCTGTCACTATTCTAATTCGTTTCTCCCAGTTCATGTCGTTCCTTATATTTGCATTATATTTGTCCATTCTGAATTTGGCGTTTAGGTCTCCCATCAGGATGTTCAGATCATTTCCTGGGCACTTCTCCACGTTCAACTACAGCCTCTCACAAAACTGATCTCTGTCGTCTTCATTGATATCGTTGGAGGATGCATAATATTAGATAAAATTCATTGTGATTCCCCCTTCTTTGTTTTGAAGAATGCTTTGATGATTCTGGATCCATGAGGTTCCTATCCAATAAGTGCTGTTTGTGCTACTTTGGATAACATCAGAGTAACCCACAGAGTGTGAAGCATTTTTATTTCGTGAACAAAATATGACAGCACCTCTCCCAAATCTAATCTTTTCAATTCAGCTTTGGTCAAATGGGTTTCACTGATTCCGAGCACCATCAAGTTGTATCTCCTCACTTCTGTAACTGTTTGATTGATCTTGGTTGACACTTTTTAGCAACGTTGTTTTCTACGAGATGGGGTTGCTGATCCCATGTTCATCTCTCTTCCATTACCCCGGATTCGGACTGGCAGCAACCCTAGAAGATCGACAAGCGCAGTTGACTCTGTTATGTTTAATACCTATTTAGTGAAAACAAATATTTTATGAGATTGGCATGAAAATCGTTTTCCTGAGATTTTCATAATAATAATAATACTTTGAAGCTCTGTTTGCGATATTGTGACGGTAGAAAATATCTATATATTTTACGCAGAATAAACATAACTGAAATTCGTTTAAAAATTGAAATTATGGGGTTCAGAATTTGTAGGTCATTAGCCGTCCAAATAATTCCAGGCCTGAAAATCAGTCTCATTTACTGTGTTTCATGAAGTCACTCACAGACGCTTGGTCAAAATCATAAATTTTTCGGCTACTTGCTATAACTGACTGAATGGGAAAACAGAATTTTACGTATACCTCATGATGTAAATTTCTTTCATGTTACATTAAAGTGGGAGTGATTAACAGGGAAAACAATTTACATTGCGTAATCACAATTGATCGATCGCTGGGTGGTGATCAATGTCATATGTGTCAAGTTCTTCTTAGTGCGGATCGAATGCTATCGACCAGTCCTACAGGAGGTCGGTCGCGGCCCGGATAGCCCAGTGGTAATGTCTCTGACTGTGAAGCTGGGTGACATGGGATCGAATCCGTCAGGAAGCACCAGTTCCCTCAAGATTGCAGGTACACCTTACTGACCAGCGACAAGTAGCACGAAACCCGGGTCCAGGGTTTTCTGTTGACTACCTCCAACCACCATCTTAAAAGTGACTTTTGTTTTATTGATTACAACAGTATACATCGAGATATGGGTTCTTTGTTATTTATTAGGTGTTGGAAACA